GGTAAGTGCACCCTGCCAGGATCCGCACAGGCCTCTATCTCCACTTCCTGTTTCCCAAGGCATGCTGGAAGGCGGGCAGGGGTGCCCACTGAGAAGCCAAGGGTGTCAAAAGGTGGAAGGTGGAGAAAGGCACCAAACTGAGGAAGGAAAGAAGTGGGTGTTTTAGGGACTCACTCTTCACCCCAAGCTGGTGAAGAGTGAGGCCTTTCGAGGCCCCAGCCTAGGGTTCTCTGTGTCAGCTGCAGAGACAGCCTCTCCCCAAGCACCAAACACCCAGCTCCCCTTCCCCTCCGGGCCTCCCTGGCGATACAGACACAGATCAGGAGTTCACCAGGGTGTCAATACAGGATCACAGGATACTGGCGATGCCCCAGGAAAGGGGCCCAGTTTGCCCCTGTACCTGTTTGGAGTTCATGGATTACCATAGAAACTGTCAAACACACTCCCCCCACACACCCCAATCTGGGTACCCACTAGGGCCAAATGTTCTGTCAATTTTGTCATGAATTCTCCTAGTCACTGTGAGGTGGGTGACATGGGCTCCATTTACAGATGAGGGAATGGAGGCCCAAAGAGGTTCTAGTCCCTGGCCCGAAGTCACACAGCTCCTTGGTGGGCAGAGCTGGTATTTGAACCACACCCACAGTTACTGCTGTATGGGAATGAGAAATTACACCGGTTAGAGGCTGCCCTGGGGCTGTGCCTTCTGCAGACCCAGCCAGCACTGCTAAGTCTAGGTGGGAATGTGGCTGGCCCTCAAGTCCAGGCTCCTGGGAAGTGAGCTGCTTCCATCTTTCCCCCATGAGTAACTATGGCCCTCTGTTATGACAGAAACAAGCTTTCACCGATGTGGCCACTGGCTCACTGGGCCAGGGCCTTGGAGCCGCTTGTGGGATGGCTTACACAGGCAAATACTTCGACAAAGCCAGGTAACACTCCCACTCCCCACCCCCGCCCTGGATAGTTGGGGGAGGGATTCAGCCCCTCTTGCCTGAGCAGGAGCTGAGTTAACAGTGCGTAATACCGTGGCCAGCTCCCTTTTCAGATGAGGAAATAGGCTCAAAAGAGTAATGGGACCTGCCCAGTGTCCCTTGATAGTAACTGGCACAGCCAGGTTTGAACCCAGAGCCCATGCTCCTGACCATGTGCTCTTTAGCCAGAGTGCTTTGGCTGATGAGTTCCTGTGTTGCCCTCAAGCGTGGCTCTTAGACCCCAGAAGTCTCAGCAGGCCCTGTCCCCCAATATCTGACTAAGTGTCAGGCTGAGGTGTTTATATCTTTGGAAAGAAGACTGTTCTAAAGGGCTCGGGGCATCCCTAAGCCCCACCTGTCAGCTAGAGAGGACACAAACATTGGAGAGGTTGACCTTATCATAGACCTTTCTGCTCCAGTGCCTGGTAGTTTGGAGAACCTCTTGAGGCAAATTTCAGCCACAAGGCTGGCAACTGTGGCCCTGTTTGGCCTGCAGACAGGTCTCTGTTGCGGGGAGAGGAAGAGTGTTGGCTACAGGCTTTAAGGAAAGCACTTGTCAAATGGTTTCTTCATGCCATTCCCTTTTGGGGCCCTGTACTTGGTGCTCAGGGCTTTATAGGGTTTCACCTTAATAAGCAAGCACCCTTTACGGCTGAGTGGTGGCATAAGTATAGCTGCCCCTTCCACAGATGGAGAGACTGAGGTAAGATACTCACCTAGTGGTGGAGGTAGGATTTGAATCTATTCAGTCTCCAGGCTCTTCTGAAGGGCCTAAAGGAAGCAAAGGTTTGGGAAGCCCTGCGAGTAGGAAGCTTCCTGGAAGAGGGGCTGATGGAACCCTGCCTGCAGGTGGCAGGAAGGGCCTCGCTGTGTGGCCATGGCTTCCCCAGTGTCCTACAGTCCACCCCACTGGCATGAGAAGGGCTACAGCCAGGGCGGTCAGTGGGGAGTGGTGGTGATTTCAGGCCCACCGAAGACAGGTGCCTACAGGGAGCCTGACTGGAAGCTACACTGTAATGAGCACCTACTGTGTGCAGGGCAAGGGGCTTCAGAGACTGCTCTCCAGGAGGTGAGCTGAGGCTGTGAGGTGTCCCAGACCTCTCAGGCCAGTGTCACCTGCCAGCACACGTTTGCCTTCTTCAATCCCTCACTGGGCTTTGGGGCCAGGCCCAGCTATACCCAGAAGTGATTCACTGTGAAGTGAGGAAAGTCACAAAGAATGGGGTGTATGTTTAATAGTATTTTATTTGGCACAGAACCAGAGATGTGAGTTAATTAGTACCTACAGTTGCTTGAAGTAATTCCCTGTGAAGGGTCGTTTCCTGACCCTAACATAATGGAACAAGCCAGTGTATGGAGAAGGAGTTTAACTCCGTTCCCAGCGGCTGGGGTTGGCTAAGGTTTAGAGCCTGGGCCCCCCTGGGGAGGGGAGTGGCAGAGGCATCAAGAGAATTATCAGGCCATGCCAGGCTCCAGGAAGTAGTGTCATGATAGAGCAGATCCAACCTTCAGGCATGTCCCCCAGCCAGCAACAGGGAGTGTACAGCAAATTGGCTCACTTTTATATCTCTTGTATCTACTCATTTGAAATATACAGAATAGCATTAAAAAGAAATTAACATTTTCTTTATGCTTAACCACTCCCCTATTTAAATCTCACTTAATGTATCATTTCCTCCATGTTATCATGAGAAGAAACTTAGAAATTTGGAATCCTAATATTTATACACATTTACATTCCTCTTTTTAGAAAAACCTAAACATCATGAACATTTTCTCATGTTGTATCTGTTAAGAGCTAGTTTTAGTGACTACGTGATGTTCTGTTTTATGGATCTGCTGTAACCAGTTTACACAGTCCTCTGTGTTTGGACGTTTCAGGAAGTTTTCAGACACCTCTGCAACAAACTTTGCCCTCCTGTTTAGGGTCTCTTCTCTTCACGTTAGTTCATGACTGGGCACTTGCAGCCCCGCCCGCCCCCCCACCT